CCTACCCCTCTTCTGTTTTAATTTTAAAAGTTTAGGTCAGCGCCGTGGCTCAATAGACTAATCCTCCGCCTTGCGGCGCCGGCACACCGGGTTCTAGTCCCGGTCAGGGTGCTGGATTCTGTCCCAGTTGCCCCTCTTCCAGGCTAGCTCTCTGCTGTGGCCCGGGAGTGCAGTGGAGGATGGCCCAAGTCCTTGGGCCCTACACCCCATGGGAGACCAGGAGAAGCACCTGGCTCCCGCCTTCGGATCCGCGTGGTGCGCCGGCCACGGCGGCCATTGGAGGGTGAACCAACGGCAAAGGAAGACCTTTCTCTCTGTCTCTCTCACTATCGACTCTGCCTGTCAAAAAAAAAAAAAAATCCCCCCCCAAAAGTTAATATACTCCCCTGAAGTCAAGACTAAATTAAAACCATAATTTGAATTTTCCCATTAGTGCAGCTATGTGAGCCTTTAGCTCAATTTTAAATGGTATTTAAGAACACAGATGACCTTAGAATACTCTATTTTAAAAATATTTCATACTGGGGCTGGCACGGTGGCATAGTGGGTAAAGCCGCCGCCACTTGCAGTGCCGGCATCCCATATGGGCGCTGATTCGAGCCCTGGCTGCTCCACTTCCGATTCAGCTCTCTGCTGTGGCCTAGGAAAGCAATAGAATATGGCCCAAGTCCTTGGGCCCCTGCATGTGTGTGGGAGACCAGAAAGAATCTCTGACTCCTGGCTTTGGATCAACACAGCTCCGGCCATTGCGGCCAATTGGGGAGTGAACCATCGCATGGAAGACCTCTCTCTCTCTCTCTCTCCCCCTCACTCTCTCCATCTCTAAAACTCTGCATTTAAAATAAATAAATAAATATTTAAAAAGAAATTTCATACCTGAGATTATTTGAGCAACTTTTAGAGCTATAAACATTTTGAAATCCTTATTGTTTTCCTGGCAGCGGAACCGAAATACATGGAACTTCAGAAATTCACAGAAATGGAATTAAAAGATGCTTGTTTTGATGCAAACAATTTTGAAATCCATGTATAGTTTCTTCACAACATTCATTTTCCATTAGCTCTTTGCAGACCAGTATATGCTAAATCCTTCAGTTTGAGCCAGAAGTATCTCTTGGGACTCCTTAGCTCCAGCTTCCACTTCTCTCGTGAGCCACCTGCCTTCCGAGCCTGGAAACCCTGGGTCGTCTGAGGGCGCTGGCTGCTGTTAGGTTGTGGGACATGGGCTCACGGGTTGTTTGCAGGGAGAGAATGCGGACTCTGTGAAATCCTGTGTTCTGCTTACACTTTTCCTGGCTTTAGTGGCCTCACTCTTCTGTACAAGTGCAGGTGCCACCTTGCGTGTCTCATTGGGATGTCTGGTGCTCTCGTGGGCCGTGGTGACGTGGCACCCTCCTCAACTCCACAGGACAGGAATGCACACCCTCCAGGCCCCTGCCAGGCACTGGAGTGCATCTGGGGAGCCCAGGAGGCGGTGGCCAACGTCTGCATGCAGCAGACGCTCAGTGAGCGTTGATGGGAGCCGTGGGCACTGTTAGGAGAGGCTGTGCAGTGTGGTGGAAGGGAGGCGCTTCCTCCTGATGCGGTTCTGTATGTTCGGGCAGGAGGCGAGGCAGAGAAGAAACACTTGCATCCATGCTGTGGAAGCTTCCAGCTTCACTCCTGCTCTGGGCACTGTCTGATCTCCTCAGTCCAGGGAGAGTGCTGGGCAGTGCAGGGAGCCCAGTCCTCCCGGAAGGCAGGATGCTGCCTCCATTTGCGCACCTGCTCCGGAGAGGGCAGGACTGGGGGCAAGGGTGAGACCCGGGGATTTGGCCTGGGAGGGGAATGCTGTCCCGTGACCCCCACCCAGTCAGGGACACGGAAGTCTCGCTCAGAGCATTGGATAGAGGACCTTGGTGACTGCATCTTCCCACAGCAACCTTGAAAATTTGCTGGAACACATCCTCCCCACCCCCCTACACCACCCCCGAGGATAAGGTGCCCCCACCTTCCGAAGAGTTCCAAAGTGCAGGGTTCATCCTGTTGTCCTTGGGGTTCTTTTTTGTTTTTATTTGTTTCTTTATGTATGTATTTATATTTGAAAGGCACAGAGAGGCAGAGATCTGCTGGTTCACCCCTCAATGCTTGCCCACAGCTGGGGCTGGACCACACTCAAGCCAGGGCTCCCACCTGGGTGACAGGGACACAAATACTTGAGCCGTGCAGGATGTGCATCAGCAGGGTTCTGCGATGGGAAGTGGAACTGGGACTCCAGCCCAGGCACTCGCACGTAAGAAGCAGGCGTCCTGAGCAGCATCTTGCCTGCTCGGCCACTCGCCCTGCCCCTTGTTTGCTGAAGGAGAATGCTGACCAATTCTTAGGGCTTCTGTGGCAATGCTAAGAAAAGAAGGATGCTGTTTGAATTGCAGCAAAGTTTTTCATAGACGTGCAGACATCATTGCTTTAGGGATGGTAAATCAGTCCTGAGCTGGGAGGGGACTCAGGGAAAGGGGCCCTGGGCAGCAGAGAGCGGCGTCTGGGTTTGAGCGAAAGCCAACACTTGGGCCTGGTTACACTGGAGAACAAGAGGGTGATTTTTTGCAAAACCTTGTGATTCTCTTCTGGAAGAGACTCCTTGGGTAGTAGAGGATATTAAATTTCCTGAGAACACATGATCGCAGCAGATGATGTCTTTCAAGTTAGAAACAAATATAAATATATTGTATAGAGTAAATTAGCAGTATTTGGTTTCTTTTTTCCCTTCTTAGTCTGCTGGGTAAACTAAATGAGCTCATTCAATGAATGATTTTTTTTTTTTCTTGGACAGCCATTTAATGAATGAAATCTATTGTGGAAGTTTTGTGAGCCCTCTGGGGAAATCAAACTGTTATAATGTGTATTTACATAATGGTCAAAAGGGATCTTGGAAATGAATTTGTTTACCTATGTTCCTGCTCTAATGGCAAACAGCCATCTCATATATTAGGGGTCTTTAAAGAGTTTATGGGGCACCAGTGAAATGGTCATTTTTCCATTCAATTATTATTGATAGCCATTGTCTGCATTTCCACTAAACTAGGTCTTTCTTTTTACTCGTTAAACTTCTTATTTGGTGAAGTATGAAGCCCTATCACTGTAATGTAAATTTAAAATATGTTATCTCAAAAACTAAAATGAAAAATGAAAAAGGGAGAAGAAAGGATGGGAGGGAGAAAGGGGAAGGAAGGGATTCTTACTATGTTCTTAGAATTCTTTTTTTTTTTTTACTTTGGAAATTTATATTTATTAAATAAAAGTTGGAATATATATATATTTTAACAAAATAATTAGGTTGCTAAGAATAATTGTGAATTACACAAGATAGCTGGACAATATCCAGTGACAAGAATAAAGGAAAGGATGCACTATACATTAGATTGTGTTATAAAAACTAACTTTTTTTAACTTTTATTTAGTAAATATAAATTTCCAAAGTACAGTTTATGGATTACAATGGCTTCCCCCCAATAACTTCCCTCCCACTCGCACCCCTCCCATCTCCCACTCCCTCTCCCATTCCATTCACATCAAGATTCATTTTCAATGATCTTTATATACAGAAGATTGATTTAGTATATATTAAGTAAAGATTTCATCAGTTTGCACCCACACAGAAACACAAAGTGTAAAATACTGTTTCAGTACTAGTTATAGCATTACTTCACATTGGACAACACATTAAGGACAGACCCCACATGAGAAGTAAGTACACAGTGACTCCTGTTGTTGACTTAACAATTTGACACTCTTGTTTATGGCGTCAGTAATCTCCCTAGGCTCTAGTCATGAGTTTCCAAGGCTATGGAAGCCTTTTGAGTTCACCGACTTTGATCTTATTCCGACAGGGTCATAGTCAAAGTGGAAGTTCTCTCCTCCCTTCAGAGAAAGGTACCTCCTTCTTTGATGGCCCCATTCTTTCCACTGGGATCTCACTCGCAGAGATCTTTCATTTAGGTTTTTGTTTTGTTTTTGGTTTGGTTTGGTTTTTTTTGCCAGAGTGTCTTGGCTTTCCATGCCTAAAATACTCTCATGGGCTCTTCAGCCAGATCCGAATGCCTTAAGGGCTGATTCTGAGGCCAGAGTGCTGTTTAGGACATCTGTCATTCTATGAGTCTGCTGTATATCCCGCTTCCCATGTTGGATCGTTCTCTCCCTTTTTTATTCTATCAGTTAGTATTTATGTTCTTAGAATTCTATCTACAAACCTTGACCCTGTTAAAAAACAATTAAAGGGGCAGGCGCTGTGGCTCACTTGGTTAATCCTCCACCTGTGGCGCCGGCATCCCATATGAGTGCTGGGTTCTAGTCCCGGTTGCTCCTCTTCCAGTCCAGCTCTCTGCTGTGGCCAGGGAGTGCAGTGGAGGATGGCCCAAGTGCTTGGGCCCTGCACCCGCATGGGAGACCAGGAGGAAGCACCTGGCTCCTGGCTTCAGATCGATGTAGTTCCAGCCATAGTGGCCATTAGGGGAGTGAACCAATGGAAGGAAGACCTTTCTCTCTGTCTCTCTCTCTCACTGTCTAAATCTATCTGTCAAATCAAAAAAAATTAAAAATTAAAGAAATAACAAATCTCAATAAACAGCAAAGAGAAAAGTAACCTCAAAAAAAGTTTATGGAGAATGGGTATTATGATAAAAACATGCATGCATTTCAAAATTGTTTGCACCAAAATAAATAGCTTTTAAGTCCATTTCTATGAACCTTGGGAAGTCCATGTTTATCATCTGAATTTAGTTCAGTGAGGATGACCTTAAACCTCTCTCCAAGAAAGTGGTTTTGGTCAGAAATGCTGGGATGTTTTCAGAGTGGCTGCTGCTTCTCAGGAAAACTCCCACCAGCAGGTTGGGGGTTGTGGTTCTCAGACATCACAGCCGGCTGTCAGAGAGACGCCCGAGGCTCTAACGTCACTGTAGTGCTTGGCAGGTGCACCAAAGGCACTTTCCACTCACCGATTCTTCTGCTCCTTTCTGCCTGTTTAGGAATAAGCCAGCACGATGGACTGGGGGACCTTGCACGCTTTCATCGGGGGTGTAAACAAGCACTCCACCAACATCGGGAAGGTCTGGATCACGGTCATTTTCATTTTCCGTGTCATGATCCTCGTGGTGGCCGCGCAGGAAGTGTGGGGAGACGAACAGGAAGACTTCGTCTGCAACACCCTGCAGCCCGGCTGCAAGAACGTGTGCTACGACCACTTCTTCCCCGTGTCCCACATCCGGCTCTGGGCCCTGCAGCTGATCTTCGTGTCCACGCCGGCGCTTCTGGTGGCCATGCACGTGGCCTACTACAGGCACGAAACCGCCCGCAAGTTCCGGCGGGGAGAGAAGAGGAACGAATTCAAAGACCTGGAGGACATCAAGAAGCAGAAGGTTCGGATCGAGGGCTCGCTCTGGTGGACGTACACCAGCAGCATCTTCTTCCGGATCATCTTCGAGGCCTCTTTCATGTACGTCTTTTACTTCCTCTACAACGGGTACCACCTGCCCTGGGTGCTGAAGTGCGGGATTGAGCCCTGCCCCAATCTTGTGGACTGCTTCATTTCCAGGCCAACAGAGAAAACCGTGTTTACCATTTTCATGATTTCTGCCTCTGTGATTTGCATGCTGCTGAACGTGGCCGAGTTGTGCTACCTGCTGCTAAAAGTGTGTTTTAGGAGATCCAAGAGAGCCCAGGCACAAAGAAATCACCCCAACTATGCCCTCAAGGAGAGCAAGCAGAATGAAATGAACGAGCTGATTTCAGATAGCGGTCAAAATGCCATCACAGGTTTTCCAAGTTAAGCGTTTCAAGGTCAAACGTGGTGGAGTCCTAACAGCAATGCCAACTTGCAAATCCCCTCTCTCTAGGCTGCAGTTTGTCTTTATGAATGACGTTTGCAGTAAATAGATAGCCAAGTTCACGTTTCGTAGAATACTTGCACCATGCACATTGCAGCATTATGGAATGCGTGGTCCATCTCTGAAAGCCACACACTGGATGACAACTGAGCCTCGAAGTCACTTTCCCAAGTTCCTTTTACGTGGACCAGCTGACCTACTTTCTGAACACACATGTCACCATTATTGATACAGAACATTTACCTAGAAATCGCTACTTTTATTAGTAAAAGATATTTTTATAGAATTGAATGTTTTAGTTCTGATTTTGAATTTCTGTAAAGTATTTTTGTAACGACTGGCCTTCCTTACCTGGAAAAACAGGTGATGTTAGTTTTAGATGTATACCACAAGTATCTAAATGTTGGACTTACAAGGGTCTACCCTGTAAATACTGTTTTGCATTGCCTATTGATGACTTTGTGAAGGGCCTTGATACTCTTCGGGTGGGACGCGTTTGTTGTACAATGGATTTTTACTGCTTTCTGAGTGGAGACAGAGCTGTATGGGTATGGGAAGCTTTTTTTAACATCCGCCTATTTGCCAATCACTGTGGACAAGGGAAACGGGAATGGGGTTGCCTCAATAAAGCTCAGCCCCTTGCCCAGACTTCTGTGTGCATCCTGGGTTTCTGCCCCATCCCGGGGGTGTGATGAGTTCTTGGGTTCCTTTGGCTGGGGAGGACACCAGTTATTGTGGAAGGCGGGGCCTTGGACTTCAGCAGGGACCCCTTGCATCCTGACGTTGGATGAGTGGAGGTGGAGTTTAGCAGCCTGCCTGTGTGTCAGCTTGCAGAGGGCTGGGACTCCAGGAAAATGCCCTGCACAGCACCCAGCCTTGGAGATGAGGAAGGGCTTAAACCACCGTCCTTGCCCACCTTGCGTTGCTGTAACAAAGGCCTGCAGGGGCTAAGGAACGTGCAGGAAGGAGGTTGACTTAGCCCACAGTTCAAGAGCATGATGCTGGCATCCACTGGCTCCTCCTGGCTACATCACAGCATGGCGATGGCCTACTGGCTGGAGTGCGTGTGTAAGAGAGCAATCCCAGAACAAGACGGGAAACCAGCAAGCGATTCAAGGAAGGTTCCAGGCTGGCTTCTAAACATCTGCTCTCGAAAGACTTCCCAGGGAGATCAGCATCACTCCCTTCCTGGGTGGAGGCCCCGTGACCTAATGACTTCCCACTAGACCCATCCTCTGATAGGTCCCACTACCTCCCGGCATTGCCACGCTGGGACCAAGGTTCTGGTGCAGGAGCCCTCTGGGGTCACAGAAAAGCCATCCCCAAGCCATAGCAGCCGCCTCGTAAAAAGCTGGCCTCCAAGGACTCACCTGCACCCTTCAGGGCCTGGAGAGAAGCACTCACAGCTTTGCACCCAGCGAGGGGGGAAATCCTCCTGTCTCCAGGTTTACCCAGGCGGGCCAGGTCTAAGCAGGTCACTTCCAGGACACACGTGAACACAACCTCCATGCGGCAGGGGTGGGGAATGTCCCGCCCGCAGGCTGTAGCAGGCCGGGGGAACCATTTGGTCTGGCCCTGCCAAGGCAACTGCAGGCAGGACTTGGAACTGAATAAACTTAGAGCAGGCTCATTTTTAAGTTGATAAATTTGTAGGGCCTGCGAATGATGCTATAAATGTTCAGAGGGATCTTGGCAGAAAACAGGTTCCCCAGCCCTGGAAGGGGGCACGGTCAGCAGGGTGTCTGGCACGTGGGAACACCCGGTGAAGTAGCAAACACAGGTGAGGGCCTCACAGAGCACGCTGTCACTAAAGGCATTCTTCCGAAGCCTCTCTCCATCACAGTGTAAAGCAAATCCTGGACATAGCCTTCCATCCATCACAATTTTAGTACTCATCTATAAAAATCCAGGACTAACCTTTTAAATTCACAAATCTAGTCAGCATTCCTAATTCCTGATTCTCCTGTGATAATACTCTCTCTCAAGATTTATTTATGTATATGAAAGGCTGAACTACAGAGAGGCAGAGAGAGAGAGAGAGAGAGAGAGAGAGAGAGAGGTCTTTCCACCCTCTGGTTCACTCCACAAATGGCCACAATGGCCAGAGCTGGGCCAATCCAAAGCCAGGAGCCAGGAGCTTCTTCCGGGTCTCCCACGTGAGTGCAGGGGCCCAAGGACTTGGGCCATCTTCTGCTTTCTTGGGCCATAGCAGGGAGCTGGATCATAAATGGAGCAGCCAGGACTCGAACCAGCACCCATATGGATGCCAGCACTGCAGGCAACGGCCTTTTCTGCCACACCACAGCGCTGGGCCTTATACTTCTCCCTTTAAAATAGCTTTCTTAGGGCTTGTGGTGCAGCAGGTTAAGCTGCCACCTGCAACACTGCCAGCATCTCGAGTGGGTGCCAGCTCATGTTCTGGCTGCTCCACTTTCAATCCAGCTCCCTGCTAATGGCCTGAGAAAAGCAGCAGAGGATGGCCCAAGTGCTTGGGTCCCTGCCACCCACATGGTTGATGTGGATGAAGCTCCTGTCTCCTAGCTCCAGCCTGGCCAATTGGGGAGTGAACCACTGGATGGAAGATTCTCCTCTCTCTCTCTCTCTGCCTTTCAAATAAATAAATGAATCTTTTTTTCTTTTAAAGATTTATTTATTTGAGAGGCAGAGAGATGGATAGAGACAGAGAGACAGAGAGAGACAGAGAGGTCTTCCATCCACTGGTTCACTCCCCAGATGGCCACAATAGCCGGAGCTGAGCCCATCCAAAGCCAGGAGCCAGGAGCTTCTTCCGGGTCTCCCACGTGAGTGCAGGGACCCAAGGACTTGGGCCATCTTCTTCTGCTTTCTCAGGCCATAGCAGAGAGCTGGATCAGAAGTGGAGCATCCAGGATTCAAACTGGAACCCACAACACTGGCCCCAAATGATTTTTTTTAAAATAGCTCATTCAATTAGTATTCAATGAGGCCCACAAACAGAAAGGAAAGAAGTGTAGGGGCAGAACATCCTGCTCGGCACCATCCCACTCCATGTGCCAGGGGGCTCCTTCCCGTGCCACTCCTCCTGCTCCTGGGACCACCTTTCCCCCTCAGGACTGCTGCAGTCGGTCCTCCGTCTCTCTCTCCGTCTCTCTCAGTCCCTCCCTCATTCCCTCACTCCCTCCTTTCTTCCTCTCTTGAGGTATAATTGGCAGAGACCTGTGCACATCTCGTGTGTCTAAGGGAATGAGCTTGAACCTATGCAAACACCTGTGACCCCATCACCGTGATCAAGGTCGTGAACGCATGCATCATCCCCCAAAGTCTCCTGTGTCTCTTTGTTTTCTGCTGCAAGAACATTTAATATGAGATGCACCTACTTAACAAATTGTGAAGTATACAACACTGTGTGGTGCATCATAGACATTTTATATATATATAATTTCATCCAGCATTGTTGAGTTACAATTTCCCTAATTCCTCAAGCCCTACCCCCAGCACAGGAAACCACTATTATATTTTTTGCTTCTAAGGGTGGCTACATTAGATGTCTTGTATAAGGAATCCTGTGGTGTTTGTGCTCCTGCCTCTACATTTTTAAAGATTTTATTTATTTATTTGAGAGGCAGAGTTACAGACAGAGAGAGGGAGAGACAGAGGAAAAGGTCTTCCATCTGCCGGTTCGCTCTTCAAATGGCCGCAATGGAGCTGGGAGCCAGGAGCTTCTTCTGGGTCTCCCACATGAGTGCAGGGGCCCAAGAGCTTGAGCCATCTTTCACTGGTTTCCTAGGCCATTAGCAGAGAGCTGGATTGGAAGAGGGGCAGCCAGGATTCGAACTGGCGCCCATGTGGGATGCCAGCACTGCAGGTAAAGGCTTAGCCTACTATGCCACAGCACCAGCCTCTCTGCATCTGTCTTATTTCACTCGGGTAATGCTGTTCAGCTCATCCTTGTTGTCACCTGTTCAGTTCACTCCATTGTATGTGTACACCGCATTTTCCCTAATTTTTTAAAAAGATTTATTTATTTATTTGAAAGGCAAAGTTACAGAAAGGCAGAGGCAAACAGAGAGATCTTCAGTCTGCTGGTTCACTCCCCAGATGGCCGCACCTATCTGAAGTCAGGAGCCAGGAGCTTCTTCCCGGCCTCCCACATAGGTGCAGGGGCCCAAGGGCTTGGGCCATCCTGCACACTACTGCGTTGTTTTTGACACTGGCTCCCCCTCACCAGCACTTGGTGTCACTGGCATTTGTACTTTTTATTTCAGCCAGGGTGACAGGGGTTTAAACTTGCACTCTCGCCCCCAGCCACAACTGCTGAAGTGGAACATCTTTTCCTGCATATCCATGCTGTCACTAAATCCTCTTCCTGTCTTTTGTTCATTTTCTAAGTGGATTGTTTGTCTTTCTACTATTGAGTTACAGGAGTTCTTTATTCTAGATACCAGTTTGGACAGGCATGTCATTTGCAAAGATCATCTCCCTCTGTAGCTTTAACACACATATTAAATGCATCATTGTTGCAGCTTCCCGCCCTCCGCCCCCACCCCCTCCCCCATCTTCTTAACAGGGGCTTCACAGGGCAAAAGCTTATTATTTTTTTTTTAAAGATTTATCCATTTATTTTAAAGTCAGGGTTACACGAAGAGAGAAGGAGAGGCAATGAGAGAGAGAGAGAGGTCTTCCATCCACTGGTTCACTCCCCAATTGGCCTTGATGGCCGGAGCTGCACCAATCCGAAGCCAGGAGCCAGGAACCTCCCCTGGGTCTTCCACGTCAGTGCAGGGACCCAAGGACTTGGGCCATCTTCCACTGCTTTCCCAGGCCATAGCAGAGAGCTGGATCAGAAGTGGAGCAGCCGGGACTCCAACCAGCGTCCACGCAGGATGCCGGCACTGCAGGTGGCGGATTTACCCGCTATGCCACAGTGCTGGCAAGCAAAAGCTTTTCCTTTTAATGGAGCACAACTCACAACTCTTTCTTTTCTGGGTCCTGCTTTTGGTTTTAAGTCAGAACTCTTTGTCTCGTCCTAGATCTTTAAGTTTTTCTCCTAAATTTTTTTCTGAAAGTTTTATAGTTTCGCATTTTGCATTTGAGTCTGTGGTCTATTTTGAGTTAATTTTTATAGGTCTGAGATTGAAGTTGAAGTTCACTTTTTGGCCTCTAAGTTCGGTTGCACTAGCACCAGTTGATGAGAGGGCTGCCCTTCCTGCCTTCACATGTTAGTCCCAAAGCAACTGGCCATGTTTACACGGGTCTATTCTGTGTTCTCTGCTCTGTTCCAATGACATTTGGTGTGTAACCCCCACCAGTGCTAGTCTCAATTAAGCTGTACAATAAATCTTGAAATCTGCCAGAGTGCTCAGTCCACCTTATTCTTTTCCAAAATGATTTTGACTATTCCATTTCCTTTGTCTTACCGTTTTCTGTATGGATCCATTAAATGGATTATTTTAGAATAATCTTACCTATGTCTATAAAAACTTAGGATTTTGATTGGAATAGTATAAAATGTGTTTATCAATTTGGGGAGAATTGATATGTTGGAGCTTTCTATACACAAATACAGGTAGTCTTTTTTTTATATCAGTTTTAATTCTTTCATTGGCATTGTGCAGTTTTCAGCATACAACGTAAATGTTCTGTTAAATTTATATTTTATTTAATTTTCT